AATCTGCGCTTTCATAAGCCCAAACTCCTCCTCCATCTCCTGGAGCGGAAGCCCACGCCGAATACGCGCAAACTCGCTGCGCGCCAGGTCAATCTTCCCATGACGAATCAGCTGGCGCGGCGAATTAGGCATGAAAGTCGCAAGGCCAATGAACATGATAATTCCCCATGGAATCTGGATGCCCAAAGGCAGACGCCATTGAATGGGGCCATAGGGTGCGTAGCTGCAAGCGTAGCCGACCCAGTTCGACATCATTGTTCCGAATGAGATGCCACAGCCGGAGATTCCACCGATCAGACCGCGGAATTTTGGGTCCGAGATTTCGCTCAGGTAGATTGGGACTGTTGCGACCATTCCACTTCAATTATTTAGCCGGTTTGTATGTAAGTTTGGTGGAGAGTATGGCTTACCCTACTGCGAAGCCAGCTAGCACGCGGCCGGCGAGGAACATGCCGATGTTGACGGAGGCGGTTTGGATGACGGTGCCGATTGTCACGATTATGCACATCATTTGCATGAAGCGGATGCGGCCGAGGCGGTCGCCGATGAATGTTTGTGTTAAGGCGCCGACGGCTTCGCCGGCGATATACACGGCCACAACCTAGAATGGTCAGTTTCTGGGTCTTGTTTGTCGGACTGGCCGTTAAATGGCGGGTTGGCTGGACATACAGCTCCTGTGACGCCATTTGATGGCTTTTGCATATAATCAATCCAGCTTTGGTGGGCAATTGCTAGTCAATCGTTAAGTTGAATCACGGATGTGGAATTTGTGGATAATTGGAACTCACTAGTCGTGGCAATGCCAGTATCGAATCCCTATTCAATGGTTAGAGCCAGCTTCGCATAGCACACGGTCCAAGATCAAATGATCTCGGAAGAAGAAATCAACCTACAAACAAGAATGTGCCTATAGCAGCAAAGAAAGCTATACTCAATGGATACCACATTGCCATCTTGGATGATTCTTGATTCTCTGCAGAATCTGATAGGGATAATAAGAAATAAAGAGAATAACACAGATCAAGAACTAAAAACAAGAGCTACCCTGGTATATTATTATATCAGCTAGTCTCTCACAGAAACAAGCCGGGCAACGTCCGATGGGCCGAGGATGCGTCACACAGCAGAGAGACAAGGGATAGACGACACAGGCGCCCATTGTCGGAGGAGGGCCGACAGACCAATTCCTGGGGAAGCGGGGGAACTGGGGTAGGGCATAGATACGAGAGGTCTCCACTAAAAGAAATCAACGCGGTCATTAGGATGTTTATGAGCCGTTTAGCCTCGTAAGATAGGAAGATGGCTGGTTCAAGGCTCTCCTATGGTCCCCCGGAATGCGGGGTCGGTGTCCTGGGTAGGTCATTCGGCAAGGATCCGCGTCTTCATATCATGTTCTTTCGGTTTTGGTATAAGGACTCCTTTCCATGTTTTACTTGGACCAATAATGAATGAAATTCATTCTGCTGAGAACCGGGTTACCATTTGGGGACGTCTTGGCATTGACTTCACCCCCACGCTCGTCATCTCGCCTTGGTCCTGTTGTGCCCTGATAATATATTTGCTTCTTTTTGAAATATCTGTGGATTGAAATGTGGTGGGTGTACAAAGTACCTAGGAGCAGAATATCATATGTCTCTAGGGAGGTCCTTGTCGGGCACTCGGAGAGACCCCGATGATTGTATCAAAAGTTAGACCAGAGTATGATGTAGTCCATTTGTGGCTGACGGCTTCTAAATATTTTTTTGATGAGCCGTCACTAAGTTGACAGCCTCGGGGGTAAATGAAGCGAGGTATGAGACGTCGGTAGCTCAGACGAAACACTCCACCGGTAATAGTGGACCTATCTAGAGGATGTGTAGGAAATCTTGGCAAGTCCTGAGGCACATGTCCCATACATGAATGAAAAGCCCAAGAGCACAATGGATAGCAAGACGTGAGATCAACATGTCACTACGATAATGAGACAGCTAGTAGCAGCTCTACTGTGAAGCAAGAATAATCATTCGACAACTCATAATCCGGTAGTCATAGATGGTGTTTTTGAATAGATGAATTCCTATTTCATTTTTCCATTGCCAATGTCATATATGCTCCGCAAAAACAGCGAAGCACTTTGTGCAATGCAGGAAACCCAGAAGCCGAACAAGGAAATTGAACAATCTAGAAAACAAGGGCAGCACCCTTGGTCTTCTTGTCACCACTGTAAAGAAAAGAGATACGTCAGTACTGCATAGCAAGTAGAACAATGTGCAGATGCAACATACCCCAACTCGAAGTGCTTGCAGCGCTTCAGGGCGAGCTGCTTCTTGGCCTTGCAAGCAGTGCACTCGAGACGCAGGACGACCTTCTTGGTGGTCTTGGCCTTCTTGTGGAAGACGGGCTTGGTCTGACCACCGTAACCACTCTGCTTCCGGTCGTAACGGCGCTTACCCTGGGCGAAGAGGGAGGCCTAAATCGTAAGGAGAATATAATCAGCAATGGCTCACGACTACCATCCCGGTGTCGAGGGCACTAACCTTGCCAGCCTTGTACTGGGTGACCTTGTGCTGTTGGTGCTTGTGGCACTCCTTGGACTTGCAGTACGTCCGGCGGGTTTTGGGAATGTTGACCTGTGCGGAGAGATGTCATGAGCTTTTGTTTTTTTGGTCTGATTGTGCGAATAAGATCAATGTCAATGTGGTTCGTGCCCCGAAGTCCGATTCGAAATTAGTGCGGTTGCAAAGAGATCGGTCGTGTTGTCCCGCTCGTGGTTTTCATGGGGCAGAAATTGTGGTTGAATATCCACGATCCACAAGGATCGTGGGGTGCATCCATTGTGGTCTGCTTTTCGAATCCTCGATTTCGTCACCAAGTGTTGGTATTGCAGGTTTCGCCACTCATTCCCTCTTCAATGCCGACTTTCATATTGCACGCTGCGAGAATCCGGTGAAAAACAGACGGTTGGGTGGTTCATATTGTGGTGATTCGCGACGGTCGGCGGATTTAACGATTTCGAGGTCGGCCGCACAGTGGGCATCACACAATCTCTCCACGACTCGAGGAATTTCGAATGGCCGGGGCTTGCAGAACACTTTGACATATCTCGTAGGGTGATATCCTTACCATTTTGACTGACTTGGCCGGATAGCTGGGTGGTGGTCGTTGGATTGTCGCTTGTCGGAGGAGAGCAAGTGCGATTGTTGGGTTGTGGGATTTCACTCGCTTAGGCCCTATCGGGTGGGCGCTAACCTTTTTAGGAGTCGCCAAGAAGATGATGCTGAGTCATTCATAAATTTTGTGCCTGAGGCATTATTGACATCACTGATCTCTGGAAGTATTTGGAGTCGATTCTCAGTCCATATCTTGTATTCTGCTATATAAATCCTTCCCCAAGTATAATACTATCCCCTACTCCATACCATGTCCGGCCTTTCATCAATTCCAACCCTTTTTCATGACCTATCACCCACTGTCCTTGAGATGGGTCCCCTAATCTCCACCACACATTTGAGCGGAGTTCATGATTGAGATCCTCGATCTTATCAATAAGACCCAATGCTTTCTTTTCGAATTCCTTTGGGGAATCTGACTCTCCTTCTTTGGTGCCACTAAACGCAATAAAGCGCGCAATGGTGATATGCGCAGAAGGAACGGTATACCTAGCCGCGATTGGACAGCCAGATTGAGTCACAATGTTGTAGAGATCACTCCGCAGATGGTGATACGTAAACTGATCATCTTTTCCACTGTACACACTGCAACCTTCCTCGCCAGCCGCGGGAACAAAGCTCAGGGCTATAGCAGAAGTGTCGTAGCTGATTACTGGCTTGACCAGCCGGGCACGGTGGGTGAGAGTGTAGTTTGCCAGCTCTGCTACGGATCCAGTCATCTCAAGAGAAGAGGTGATTTCATCGATTTCAGGTCCTGTTAGTGATGACCTGATCTCGAGCGTGGTCATGTGCAGATGATGCGGGGGTACGAGCCAGAGACCTATATTGTAGAATCACGGTTAGTAGAGTCTCTCCGCAGTCTCCACAGATAAGTATAGCACACACCAGGACCAATCAAGGGACCAATCTCCTGCTGGATCTTGTAGACCAAGTTCCGAATATGCTGTGGCGGGCGTGCCCAAAAGGCAAGATTATGTCTCGTGTCGACGAAGTCTGTCAACCCCTTCTCTGCCTCGAGGACTTTGGACAGGATCTGATCTTCTTTCCATTTGCAAAATCCGGGTTGGCAGATTTGGTTTCTGAAAAGAGCATTTCTATTGCTTCTATGATCCTCATAGGCAATTTGCAATTGTTGCTGCATGGTACTCTTAGCATTTTGGTTGTTCACAATTAATGCCCCAAGCTTACCGGGTCATTTTCAGAACGAGTGATCAATTGCTGAAACTGATTCTCACCTGTTACATGCACAGATTCATTTGCCATGTTGTTTGAGGTCCGACTCCAATTGACTAGTGATTCTAGTTTGGGTCAAGGGTTCCAGCGGGGTAGATGGGGTAAAAATGCATGCAAGTGAGAAAGGATTTATACTATTTACTTTCTAGCTATAAAGCAGTAATAGTAGACAGAAACATGATTATAGTAATTAGATCAATCATTAGTCAAAAAGTAGCTTTTTTTCATTTCTCAATTGTTCCAAAATATTAACTATACTGCAAGTCGTTCATTATATATTGCTGAACCGTAAAGGATAACTCATTTTGAAAAATGGTGTTTCGGGGGCTTATTGCTTGAATTAAGACAACAACAACCCAGCAATATATCTCATCTTACTTCTAAACTCTTAATTATGTTGTTCCCCATACTACATTGTGTACATCATCGCAAGTGAAAGTGAGGCTCCAACGCGATCAGGCAATAAGGCCACAGGCCCCCACCAAAACCCCGCCGGGCTCACATCTTCTCTCCAAACAACTCATTGACAAGAGCTGTACCTCCAAGTACATTTCAGCCGACCCATACATTGCTCCTTACTACTATTGAAACCACTGAAAAAGCCACCGTCGCTTCAATATGCTGATCAAGTGCGTTTCTCAGCTCCAACATGACCCCGTCCCCATTGCATCATCACATGGCCCAGAACTGGAAAAGGTCACACTAGAGCCGAAAGCTGACATTCCGCGTGCTAACAGGGTCCGAACACTCACTGGAAAGGAGATCGAGCTCGACATCGAGCCTGACTATAAGGTAAACCACCCGCCAGCCTTGATGCGTTTCCGGCTCCTCCCCGCACGGAATCACTCTACCCTTCGACCGAAACCACATCCACAAGCCACGCTATATCCACGTTCTTTGAATGCACTTATACTAATATGGGCGGTTCTTATAGGTTTCTCGGATAAAGGAGCGTGTCGAGGAGAAGGAGGGAATTCCTCCTGTCCAGCAACGACTGATCTTCGGCGGCAAGCAGATGTAAGAAACCACTCCCTGGGTTATTTCCGTTACCTTTACATCATCAAAAACAAATCTAAGATAATAACTTTCCACCAACAGGGCGGACGACAAGACAGCGTCAGAATATAACCTCGAAGGTGGCGCCACGCTCCATCTCGTGCTTGCTCTGCGTGGAGGATGCGCTGCGATGTCGATGTAAACGCCTTTTGTCATTTTTAGATACCATATTTCTGCAGCAATGTGAATCAGTTGAGGAACACTAGTGTTTGCCCACCCCTCATTCCATTTCGTGGATTCGAGCTGCAAGGACAGCAGAGCAATGGAATTTGAGATTAAATGGAGAGGCAATATGCATACTGGGTGTTCTGGATTGAATCGTCTGAATTTTATTTGGGTCCTTTTTTTCCCCTCAAGGACATGAGCTGCTTTGGACTGGCTTGGTTTTGCTATGCCTTTCCCGACTCTACTTCCGGGATTTGGATGTTGCGTATGTCTACTTTAATGTAGTTAAGCGTGCAGTCCCGCAGGATGTAATGCGAGTACCGCTGAGTGCATTTTGGGATGAAGCACCGAGAGATGGTTGTAACATACTAACCCAGCCTAGCTGACTAAGTTTCGAACGCTATACATGCGACGACCTTGGATAAAGTTTAGGCCACAAGCTTGAAGACCTGACCGGCAGTCTTGGTTGCACTGTCCGGAATAGTCAGAGCTTGAGAAGGTTGGAGCATATAGGTATTGGTTTCCAATTTTTTTGTGCGTCCAAGCCCTTCACATTGTGAAAGAAATGGGTATAGCCTGTAGTATGGGACAAACAGAGCCCGAATCCACATTAAATGGAGTTGAAGATAACAACATTTGTTTTTGGAAATGTGATGAAATTGCAACACGAAATGAATCAGAAATGAGGTGAATTCCACCTCGGGTATCAGACGATCCCAAACTCCTTACTCCAACCGAAACCATGGATGTTACCTACCTCCCATATAGACATGTATATAGAAGGCCTCCTTTAGGAGACCCCGAAAATAACAAAAGGTTTGGTGATCCGAAGATCACGACATATGTCGCCGCTTTGCCGGCATGAAAATGCTCGGCGCCGGACGTCGACGAATGACGCCCGGGCGGAGAGGAGGCCCGGAGGAAGGCGGGCGGGTGGGGGGGAAGAGAAGAGGTGGGAGGGTCGGGGAGGGACGATGAAGAAGAAGAGGATTTCTCTGCACCGTGAGGGGGGAGGTTGCCCGGCGCTTCAGCTTGGGCTCAGAAGCAACAGCTGGTGACTTCTTTACGCCAGGCGCATCGCTGCTGGATGCACCACGGGGTGGAGTGGTGGAGGCAGTGGAAGTCAGTGCACGTAGCCGCGCCTCATTCTTAGCCAGCATGGGGTGCTGGAGCGAGGGTGGGAGCATGCCGGGGCGTCGGCTGATGCGTGGGGGAAGTGGTTGCGCCTTTGATGCCGGCTGTGGTGCTGGCTGCTCGGCGGGGCGGCGATGTTCTTCAACCAAGCCGATCGGTGCGCGCTTGACTTGCGACGCGCGGTTGTTGAGAGATTTGGTAGGCATCGTTAGCGCGGTGTTGCGCTTCTGCGGTTGGAAAATGCTGGGCTTCTTTTCAACCATGCCCGTCCTGCGATCATAGGTAGTATGGCGTTGTCGCATAGAGGGTCGGGATCCGGCCATACGCAAACCCTTGCTCTCAGGGATAAGTTTGGGAGTGAGGAGTGCACGCTTGGCACTGATGCCGTCAATCGCCATTTTCAATTTCTCCGCATCTGCGTCAAGGGAACGTTGTACTTGGTCGCGGAGGTCACAGTACACTCCATACCAGTTTTTGGTATACTCCGGGAGTTGGTACTTCTCCCACTCGGGAATGTCCCGTTTAATGAGCTCAAGCCACATTTCTTCATCTTCTTCAGCGAGGTGGGGGGATGCGAGCTCCATGGCGTGCTGCAAATTTAGAGAAGAATGGTATTAGTAAGTAAATCAAAATAGAAAATGAAGTGCAAGTGAAGTGATAGAAGTGAGGTTTAGGAAGACATACCAGCTTTTCGGGGTTATGGATATTAAGCAAAATAGGACGGGCAAGTGAGTATGGCATGGCGCCCAGATCATCTAGGTCTGAAAACCATATAGTTAGCATGGAATGATCCAAAATGAGAGAGCTTATATCATCTGTACCTTTGACGAAGCGGATAGCCGTGGCTGTGGCCAGGTGAAGTAATGATGGGGCCGGCATCTTGCTTATGACGGCAATAGTTCAAGCCGAATTGGGTACAATGAGATGTGCGACATGGGGTGAAAGCAAACAAGAGATAACAAAGCAGGTGAGGCGCAATTCCCTTTCGAAAGAACAAAGCGCAGATCAAAAGATGCCAGATACTATGTTATTCTGGTGGTTGTAGACGGTAGTAGGCTCGGCTTTAAATAAGTGGATGATCACGAGGTCGACGCTGATTGGCCGTCTAAAGCGCTTCATGGGTTCAATGCTTTATTCGATGTATCTTTGTTCTAATGTTTCATATCTACAGTTATAGAGTCTGCTACTGATCTGATATCTGCATATTATATATCTGCCCAAGTGATGACTGGTGACCTTTATTGTCAATATACTCGAGGATCTCAAAATTCATTTTATCATTGTTGGGAATCTAGCAAAACGACGGGGGCTTGACTGAGAGTTGACACTATCTCTAGTAAATCTGAAAATTGGTAGTATTAACCATCGGATGTGCAATCGGCACATACATAGCAATCTTGGAAGTAATGCCAGCTGCTCTGGGATACCAACTGGAGGAACTCTTCATTTATCCACGTATACGACTTCTCCAAAAAAAGGTATTGGAACCTCATTGGATAATGACTATAAACCCTTTTGATTTTTGAAGCAGCTCTTTATATTCCAACGGCTTCTTGCATTCATTTTTGAAATGTCTAGGATTCATTCTCTGTCGTCTTTGGAACTTATAGTTGGAAGCACGTGATGCATAAGCAGCAAACAGTGCAAACAATGCAAACATCATCTTGATAGCATCATCGAGGGGCATATCAAGGAACTTTTGAGAAATCGAAAATCAGCTTAGCATATCACTATATTCTGTTGTCAGATACAAAATTGAGAGGTATGTACTTTGCGATCTTAATATTCTGCCATGATGCCCGTCTATGTGCGCAGTGTCTTGAACAATTTTGCCAGCAATGCTAGCCGTATAACTATGATTCGGGCATCCTGGGTGCTGGATATAGACATCCAATAGCGTTAATTAGAACACATTCCCCCCCGTCCTATGGCACCTCTTCTGGCAATTCTGTTTGAGACTCGGAATCAAAACTTCCCACGCATCTAACTCTCACACAGATAACCACAATGGCACCCCGCTCGCAGCTAGAGATCGCCACTTCCTCTGTGATCCGCCTGGTCAAGGAGGAGGCTTCCTATCACAAGGAGCTTCAGCAGCAGACTGAGCGTGTCAAGAAGCTGGAGGCTGATACCGCTGGTGATGACGAGAACCGCGAGTATACCCTGAAGCAAGAAGTATGTGCCTTGTATGGAAACTTTGCTTCTACCAAATTATCTTGCCTATATTTTGAAACCTCCAATGCTGACATGAATGATAGCACATGTCACTTGAAGAGACCAAAAAGGTCCTGCCTACATTGAAGGAGAAGATTGTGCAGACCGTTGCGAACTTGGAAGCTCTGATTGTGAGTGTAACATCCCTTTTCTACTCCCCATCTGTATCCTTAGACCCCATTAACCAATTCTGATAGATTGAGGAGGGCAAGAAAGGATCGGAGAGCAATGTCGAGCACATTACCGCTGCCAAAGAAGCCATTGCCCAAGCTAAGACCGCACAGCGCGAGATTTCCTGAAAGAGATGTTTATTACATCAAAGCTAAAAAAAAAATACCCACAAGGTGGAAGATTCCATAATATCATTCAATAAATTGAAGCCATGCCCAACACCAGACCATAAACCAGAACTCCCTGCTAGTGCTAGTAATATACACGCCGAAATGCATCTTTAGGTAGTATCCATCTTCCCGCTGAAGTCATCAGGGAGTTCCTCTCCTTCCTCGAGTTCGGATAATTCGCCATCACTAGCCCCAGATACTTCACCCTCATCAAGCATATTGGTGTCCTCTCGTGTCCCATCGCTCTGGGCAGTTGTGACTTGCCGCAATGGCGACGCGGCACCAGTAGCCCCGGCCTTCTCAACTTGCAGAGCAGATAGGCGACCGGCCTCATCTTGGCCATGCTGGGAGGGAGTCGCGGCATCATTTTCAGGACCAGGAGTGTTACCATTGCTAGTCTTGCCCTTCGATGTGGCATCCCCCTCGTCGCCGTCTTCGCCCTCCTGCATGCCTTCCCGGCGCTCGACTTCCTCTTTCTCATCGCGGATCAGACGACGAAGCTGCATCCCCTCATCCACAATACGACCGAACTGCTCGCGTCGCTCAGCCCATGTCATGGCGTAATCTTTGCTTTCCTTCTCGAGATCTGCAATCTCCAGTCGCAATTTCTGAAGGTTCGCTGACTGGTCTTCGCGCGGCTTGAGTAGACGGTTGCTCGTGATTTTGTCCGTCAATTCATCGTAGGTCTTCCGCAAGGAGAGAAGTCGCTGCGCCTCTTCAAGTTGACAGCGTAGATCGGCCGTGCTTTCCCGTACAGACTGCATTGTCGACAGGATCTGAACTCGCTCGGTGGCATATCGCTGGCGTTCTTGCTCGTTGCTGGTAAGGAGAAATTGGACACGCGCAATGCTGCCCTCGAATGCAGCAAAATCGAGTGAGACATCCTCGCGGAAGTGGCGCCATTCTTCGAGCCTTTTCTGTTTCTCGGCTTCTGTTGCGGTCGCATCGGAGTTGGCGTCGGTTTCTTCGGGGGGAGGGGTGAGAGGGAGCGAGGATTGTGAGACAATGAGGGATTCGGGGTTCAATAGTCGTTTCGAAATTCGCTTGAATGGCTTTTCTTCGACGTTGAGGAGACGCGACTTGTGGAGCGCATCTGTAAGAGCTGGGGTGTTAACGTTGACCTGGGAGGACAGAGCTGGAGTGGACTCGACCTTCTTCTGGCTGGCCTAGCAGCCCGTAAGAAGCCATTTTGTGTATCTTATTATGGAATTCAATTCCAAAGTCTAATAGCACAGAGGTAGATTGAAAGTGGTCGCGACTTTAAGGTGATCGAAGTGGGGAGGAATAT